AAGTAAAAAGCTTTTATCAATCTGTCAGTCCGCTATTAGTGTCCTATCTATTATGTTTTATTAAGAGCAGGAACATATTGCAGGAAATAATCTAGTTCCGTGGAAGGGAGAATAAAATCAGCATTCAAAGAATTTTTATGGAAGCAGCCATTTTGATTCATCTGATTGTGCTTAACTGTAAAACAGGTTGTCCAAAATTAGCTATTTTAAATCTAAGGAAGCATTTAACTGAGCATGAACAATAGGAGTTGGATATACAGGCAGTCCTCGACTTACAAACATCCAACTTACAAATGAGACAAAAGGAAGTGAGAGAAACCTATGTCTCAGAAGGGAAACTCACTCCTGAAAGAGTTATCATGGGGATCACTGGGATGGAAAGAGAAGTGAAATCTTTTGAACAGGGACATAAAGAGTAAAACAAAAACACCACAGAAGGGTTATCCCTTCCTGATGCTATCCAAAGCTTATATAAATATACTAGCTGTAATCGCCACACATTGCTGTGGCCAACCTGCCCTCCCTCTTTCTCTCTTTCTCTTTCTCTTCCCTTCTCCCCCCCCCCCTTTTCTTTCCCTTCCTTTTTCTCCCTGTTCTTCCTTCTCTACCTATTCTTGGACTGCAACTCCCAGCAGTCCTCCTGATTGATTGATCTATCTACCTAACTACCTATCTCTATCTGATCGATTTATCTGGAGGATTGCTGGTAGTTGCAGTCCAGGAATAGGAAATTGGAAATATACAGGGATTGGGATGCTCTCAAAGAAATCCAAGGAGAAGAAAGCTTGCATCTTGGAAGCAGTGCATTTGGATCATCCTGCTCTTTTAAAGGGCCTGGTCTAGGGGATGCTGGAAGTTGTAGTTCAGAAGAGAGTGTGAATATGCTGTTGTGTGTTTTGTTTGCCGGAGGGAGACTTTTTTGCGCATGCACTGTATCATCTTTTTGCTTTTTTGGATTTTAAGTCTCTTTTGCTGTGTATATATGTGTGTTTGTGTATATATGGATTTTGCGCATACATTGTAATGCATTTTTGTTTTTTGTCTTTTTAACTCTCTTCTGCTGTGTTTTTCAGTGTTTTTATGAGTGATAGTCACTCATTGGCCTGATAGGTGTATTGTGTCCACATTTGGTGTCTATTCGCCCAGTGGTTTTTGATTTATGTTAATCATAAATACATTTTATTTATTTTTATAGGATGTCTTTAGCAGTGTTTCTATACTTTTTTAATGCCACAAGCCCTTAATGCAGTTCCTCATGTTGTGGTGTCCCCCAACCATAATACTATTTTTATTGCTCCTTCATAACTGTAATTTTGCTACTGTTCTGAATCATCATGTAAATATCTGATATGGAAAATGTATTTATGTTGAAAGCCTTCGACAATACATTGTATTTCTGTTGTTATAAATTGAACATAATTAAAGCATACTGATTAATCACCAAAACAATAAGTTTGGGGAGTATGGACAATGGATGATGGGGTTTGGAGTACGTTCAACTGATTCAGCTCAGACTTCCACAGACCACTAAGATCCCCGTTAATGACAGATCTGAACCAAACTTGGTTCACAGAACCTTCATGGCCATCAGAAAATACTGGAGGGATTTGGGAGGAATCCACAGTAATAGGATCCTAGTGTTGCAAGAGACCTCCAAGGGCCATCCAGTCCAACCTCCCTCTGCCATAAGGAAAAAACACAATCCAAGCACTCCTAACAGATGGCCATAGAGACTCTGCTTAATAATATTATTATTAATAATAGTAATAGAATCCTAGAGTAGGGAGACCTCCAAGGGCCATCCAGTCCAACCTCCCTCTGCCATTAGGGGAAAACGGAATGCAAGCACTCCTAACAGATGGCCATAGAGACTCTGCTTAATAATAATAATAATAATAATAATAATAATAATAATAATAATTCCTTTCTTCCTCCCTCCCTTCCTCTCTCCTTCCTCTTCCTTCCTTTCCTCTCCCATCCCTGCCTCCTTTCCTTTCCTTCCTCTTTCTTTCCTTCTACCTTTCCTTCCATTCATATTCTTCTCTTCACCAGTCCTTTTCTTCCTGTCTTCTCTCCTTTCTTTCCCTTCCTTCTGTGGCAGTTTGTAAGGAGTTTGCATCCTTCCTTCACCCAACAGTCCCAAATGGGGGGAGGGGTGTGTGCAGCCACTCCTGCAGCCAGACTTCCCTTTCAATCCTCTGCCGGTGCTTGCCTCCACAATCCTCCATGCCATCCGCCTTTCCTTCCTTCCCTCCCTCTTTCCTCTCCTGAATCTCTCCCCTCCTGAAAAGAAAGAGGAGTCTGCCTTCCTGCTTGGAAAGGGACTCCATGGTGAGGCAGTCCCTTTCCCTCAACGGTTGGTGCCTCAGTCTTCTTGCATGCGCTGGGGAGAGGGCCTTTTGCGCATGCTCAGTTAGGTACTTTTTTTGGGGGGGGGGATGTTAAAGCTATTTCCCCTTCCTTTTTAAAGATGTTTTTGTTTGGAAGACATAGATTGGATAAGAATGTGTTTTGCTGCCAAATTTGGTGCCAATTCGTCCAGGAGTTTTTGAGTTCTGTGAATACCACAAACGAACATTACATTTTTATTTATATAGATTCCACTCTACTTTAAAAGTTAAACACCATATTATATGATGACTTCTTTAATTGTATTTTAATTTTAAATATCCTTTTAAAATTCCTGCTTCAGCATTTTGAAAAGCTGTCACAGATCCCATGCTGAGATTAAAACGGGACATAAAATAAATAAGTCAATAAAGGGAAAGTCCCACTAAGCCCTTACTTTCACTTAGCCATGCATTGCTTACAGTGCAATCTATGCATTGTTATTAGAAAGTGCAAGCCGAGACATATCTACAGCAAAAGGACCACAGGCAAAAAGTCACTTGCATTATCTTTGCACACAAAAGCTCAAAACTATGAACATTGAAACAACAATCCAGTCTCATCTGAAATGCACAAGGCATTGGACAAAGGAATCCAGTCTCCATCAATGTAACCATTCCTTACCTATGAATTTTCCATACCTAATAAATTGGAATTAGAGTCTTTGAACAGAAATAATAGAGGGCATGTCTATACTGGTCTCATTCCAAAACATACTCATTGTGAATGCACCACTCATAGTTTTCATGACAAACAGAGAATTATGGTATATATGTCAAGGAGTTTTGTTGGCTTTTTAAAATCTTTAATCCAACTATGCTACTCATGGAGAGGTTCCATTTTTTCAAGGGAACCTATCCAAAAACATGGTAAATTTAATTATAAATGAAATTACATTAGCTAAATCATATCAGTTTAATGGTCTATATTTTACCAGTATAATCATCCACTCTTTTTACCAAGTAGGTCACATCATACACTGTAAGGTAGCAAACTGAAATTCATGTACTTTATAAAAATGAACCTGGAAGACTAAAAAGCACAAGCTATTACAGCAGGACTAAAGAACATCTAGAAGTAGCCGCTGATTGATAAATCCATTTTCTAATCTCTGATGAATAGTTGTCTTTGTGGAACATACAATCTTATTCTACTCAGGGACAATTTATGAACTGAATCCAAATGAAATAATTCATGATTTAACCAAGCTGGAATCAACAGAGCAAGTGACTGGAGCTAAAAAGTCACTAACATGCTTTGGATCCAATTTCATGTGGTCCCAAGCTTAGCTCTGTAGCAAATATTTATTTATTTACATTATTTCTATCCCGCCCATTTCAGCCCAAAGGCAACTTAGGGCGGTATACATAGTCGGCACAATTCGATGCTGAAACAAAATAATATTCTGGCTAAGCTCTGCAGTAAATTTCTATATAAAAATCCATATATTCCAGAAAGGTAGGCTTTGTTCTTACTTCACTGCTAGACTTGTGTCCAAATTTCAGAATAAACTTGATGAGTCAAGGGACTGAATGCGTCTTCATAATAATGACAATAACAACTCTCCATTTCATTAAGGCTAAACATTCTGCTTAACATCCTTCATAGAATTAAAACATGGATATTGCATTATGCAAGCAAATCTACAGTCTGACATGGCCACAGTAAAGAGAGAGGTTTCCCCTCACAACAAGAACTATAGTAATTAATAGGCTTGGTTGATCCAGTTCGTTAATTTCTTAATTCGTTATTACTTCGTTAAATAATTACCTTTAGAAGCGATATCGACGCGTTTTGGCAACCTGGAAGTGTATTTGCCATATCGAAGCCGTGCCCCCATCTTCCTTACGACTTCCACCAGTGAATCGTAAATGCTGGGGGCGTGGCCTTTAGGAACAGCTGTTCTTACCCACGCCCACCTCCTTCCTCTTTGCATCGGCGGCTTTGCGAGGTGGGCGTGACTACCTCCCTGGCGACAAGCGGCGATGCGGAAGAGCTGGGCGTAGCCACGGCCACCTCGCAAAGCCGGCGATGCAAAGAGGAAGGAGGTGGGCGTGGCCAAGCACAGCCCTCCTTGGAGGCCTCGGCGAGGCCTCCGAGGAGCGCTGTGCTTGGCCACCCACCTCTCCCTTGGACAGCTTGCCAGGAAGGAAAGAAAGGTGAGAGATTTAAAAACCAACACTTTTAAAATCTCTCACCTTTCTTTCTCTTCCCTGGCAAGCTGTCCAAGGGAGAGGTGGGAGTGGCCAAGCACAGCGCTCCTCGCTCGGAGGTCGCTGGGAGCTGTGCTTGGCCACGCCCACCTCTCCCTTTCTGCCACAAGGGAAGGAAGGGAAACTGCGAAATTTTAATGGTTCTGGAGGGAGGGAAGGGCACCTTCCATTAACGAAACAGAGGAAACGATTCATATTTCCTGGAAATTTTGATCTTTTTTTAAAGAAAATTTCATAAATAATTTAAAAATCGAACCTCCAGTGCCCCCTACATATGAAACGAGTTTAGAACCATTTTTTTCTTGATCAACCAAGCCTAGTAATTAATATCCTAAAATTTGGGCCATCTCAGCCTATATACCTAATAATTTAAAGAATTTAAAAAGTAGTTAAAGCTACCTTTTGATATTCCTTGATATTGCCTAGATTGAAAGAAAATACGTGATCCTTTGCTCCAACGAAGAGTCTACTCCGCTCCTCATCCAAAAGGAATGTGTGGTAAGTGGAACTATTAACCAATCCATCGAACATGACTATATTGTTGGATTCATACATTTCTGTAAGAGGAAAGACAAGACACTTCCAGTTAATAGTTGAATGAACAAAGACCTTGGTCCCAGATAGACCATCTAGCAGCATGTCCAATTTGATATTACTACGCTGCTTTTTCTTAGAATATTACATTGAACTATAAATCTTGCTTCTGCATTAAAATTGCTGTTTTTGTTTTCATTAATGGTCATTTTGTATTTTTCATGCTGCTGCCACTGATGACAATAATGATGATCTGATAATAAATTGGACCATTATCATAACTAGTTTGGTTTTGATTTAACCCAGCCATAATAAATCAATGACTTCATTCAAACTTTTTAAAATTTCTAACAAAATACAGAGGATTGACACAGTGACTCCCTTTATCTATAGCATCTCCCTACTTCACACAGTTAATTCAAAGTACCTCTAAACCCAATCAGAAAGTCAGGAAAACCAAAATGTAAAATTTTCTTCGCTATGTGTATAAACATTGCACACTGTCAGTTCCCCGTGCAAGTTGTATGTTCTCTAGGGACCTTATCACACACAGTTATACTCAGTCTCTGATGCATTTGTCTACTGGTGTCTATGGGGAATGCAAGATACATTTCATCAAACACTCATAGGCACTTGTAGGCAAAAAAATCTACCATTAGTACTTTTTGAAAAATTGGAAACAATAAACTTTAATCATCTTTAATTTCTCTGTGCATGTCAGAAATGCTATTTTTTAAAATGTGTGATGGGTAGATTCATCTGCACCTCATCTTCTGTACCTAACACACTCGGTGCTTTCAGAGTGTGTTAGGGCCCCCCATCTTATGGTGACAGTCACATAAAGATCGTAAGTAAAACCATAAATGTTTTTCGCTTTCCCATTATTGCCTCCTTTTTAACTTTCTTCTTAAATTTTGGAACTGTGCGGCTCTGTAGAAATAAAACGATTCTTTTACATTTCTAAATTGTGATAGATGTCATAAACTTGTGTGGTTGCACATGATCCACCAAAAAAAAAAAAACAAAGAGAAAAAGAAAGACAGTGACATAAAGGAACATATCATGGGTTGGGAGGAATCATCCCTCTATTATAATAAGACTGACAAACATTATTTTGTTAGATATGGAAAGGAAACAAGTGTATGAGATGAGGTGACTAGATATCTAGTCCTCATCTAGCATCCTTAAACAACAGGTTGACTAATGTGTTTTCTCAGGTGTGTGTGATAAGGTCCTACAAGTATTGAACCTCCCTTCATACATAAAAATGCATGAATTATTCTGTCATAAGTTTCATTCAATACAAAGGTTATATTCTTTGAAGCATCCTTGGGAAAAAAGGATGGGAACAAGAAAAGGGAGTACCTGGTAAGGAATCAAGAAATCACAAGATCTGATAGATTGTTTTCAACTTCTTAGTACGAACACAACCATATAACAAATGTTAACACATATTGGAATATCCTTAAAATATACATTTTTGTTAAGAACAAAACCCACTGATAGTGTAGAAGACAGTTAAACACATTGAAAGATCTAATGGTCTACAAACATACTGTAAGAAAACATTTTTCTTGTTTCTTTTCTTGTAAAGAACTATGTACGATGATAACAATGTGTAAATTGATGAAAAAGATATTCAGGAATACAATTTGGGAGATAGTTATTACCAGTTTTCAATGTAGATAACATAATAGTCCTGTCCATAGGCATGTGTTACTGGCATGCATCTTTGATTATTCTATATATTTGTCATGTTCTCTATAAAAGGAAATCAATCTGTATCAAATGTGGTATTGCCTTTTTCTTCCCTTGCTTGTCTGGTGTAATAAATCAATTTCTCCATTACAGCTAAGTTCCATTTTAGTATACTTATTGTTTTAGGACAAGGGTCCTCAAATTAGGGCCTGCAGGCTGGTCCTGGCCCCCAATGACATTTATCCGGCCCGCAGGGTGCCTGCCACCTCCCTGGGCCCAGCCTGCTCTTCTCCAGCCTTCGGGATGGGGCCTGGTCTCATCCCGAAGGGAGGAGAAGAGGGGGAGGCGGCGGCAAAGCAGTTTGGGGCCATTTCGGCCGTCGCCTTCCTCAGCTCAGCCTGCTCTTTTCCTCCCTTCGGTATGAGGCCTGGCCTCATCCTGAAGGGAGGAGAAGAGGGGGAGGCGGCGGGCAAAGCAGCTTTGGGGCCGCTTCGCCTGCCACCTCCCTGGGCTCAGCCTGCTCTTTTCCTCCCTTCGGTATGAGGCCTGGCCTCATCCTGAAGGGGGGAGAAGAGGGGGAGGCGGTGGGCGAAGCTGCTTTGGGGCTGTTTCACCTGCCACCTCCCTGGGCTCAGCCTGCTCTTTCCCTCCCTTCGGTATGAGGCCTAGCCTCATCCTGAAGGGAGGAGAAGAGGGGGAGGCTGCGGGTGAAACAGCTTTGGGCCGCTTTGCCCGCTGCCTCCCTGGGCTCAGCCTGCTCTTCTCCTACCTTCGGGATGAGGCCTGGCCTCATCCTGAATGGAGGAGAAGAGGGGGAGGTGGTGGGCAAAGCAGCTTCGGGGCTGCTTCACCCGCTGCCTCCCTGGGCTCAGCCTGCTCTTTTCCTCCCTTTAGGATGAGGCCTGGCCTCATCCTGAAGGGAGGAGAAGGGGGGTGGTGGCAGGCGAAACAGCTTTGGGGCCGCTTCACCTGCTGCCTCCCCAAGTTTATATTTTAAGTGTGGGGTTTTTTTGCACTGCAAATAAGATATGTGCAGTGTGCATAAGAATTCATTCATTTTTTGTTCAAATTATAATCTGGCCCTCCAACAGTTTGAGGGACTGTGAGCCGGCCCTCTGTTTAAAAAGTTTGAGGACCCCTGTTTTTAGAAGTTGGGCCTTCAGAGGGCCCATGGAATGGACAATTGTTGGTAAAGTCTCAACCTCTGAGACTGCCCGTTCCACGTCTTTTTCCATTAATGCCTTTCCCAATGACATGTTGATTCTCACTTTTTTTTCTTTGTAGTATAACAGTACAATCAGTGACTGCTGGAGCATCCATGAAGAGCAACTGAAGAGCATGGCAATGACACTGATTTAATCAATGTAAATTTAATCTTCTTCCTCCAAGACTTAATTAGTTTCAGCACCATTGTTATACAAACTTGATTGTTTCTTTCTGTGGGGTCATAAGCAGCACCAAAACATAGCTGAAATACTAGGGGAAGGACACATTTTTTGTCTGAAAGACGACCTTTAAAGAAAACCCAGATTGATTAAAGGAACATTAATTAATATAGTCAGTGGAATTAATAGCAATGTTCTACAAGGAAGGATGTAGACATGCTTATTTTAAGGATGGAGACATGCTGTGAGCATGACTTGGACAAACAATAACCACCTGTTTGCTTCATCATGCCCTTGATTCCTGCATGCTTTCCCCAGTTATTTTTCTTACAGTGATTTTAACTGTATTCCACCACTTTTAACAATTAGACAAGGGATTGTGTTTTCAATAATGGTTTAAAGATCATTTCACTCCTTGCTGCATGCTTTCAACAATTTTTCTTCTTCTTTGCTCTAACTTTTCTGTGGTAACCATGCAGCATTACGGAAAGAGAATCTGCCAAATAAAAGATTTTGGTTGGGTTGTTTGATTTTCCTTTTAGCCCAGAACCTGATAGGCATAATTTTCATACTCAACAAAGCATTCACTACAGACCCCTCTTTTCAGAGTATTGAAATAACTTACAAATTTACAGGTGCTTCTTATTCAGCGTTAAAAATAAAACTATCCTCGTACTTTATTATGAAAATGCATACAAATCAAAGTCATAGAATCATAGAATCAAAGAGTTGGAAGAGACCTCATGGGCCATCCAGTCCAACCCCCTGCCAAGAAGCAGGAATATTGCATTCAAATCACCCCTGACAGATGGCCATCCAGCCTCTGTTTAAAAGCTTCCAAAGAAGGAGCCTCCACCACACTCCATGGCAGAGAGTTCCACTGCTGAATGGCTCTCTCAGTCAGGAAGTTCTTCCTCGTGTTCAGATGGAATCTCCTCTCTTGTAGTTTGAAGCCATTGTTCCGCGTCCTAGTCTCCAAGGAAGCAGAAAACAAGCTTGCTCCCTCCTCCCTGTGGCTTCCTCTCACATATTTATACATGGCTATCATATCTCCCCTCAGCCTTCTCTTCTTCAGGCTAAACATGCCCAGCTCCTTAAGCTGCTCCTCACAGGTCTTGTTCTCCAGATCCTTGATCATTGTCAAAATGAAACAAGTATGTTCTGAACTCAAGAATCCCTGTACCACAAAAAATTGTCTTGTATATTATATGACTGATAATCTGGAGCATTAAACTCAATAGGTTACACTTCTGGGTATGCATTGATAATATTGTCCTCCATATGTACAATCCTATGCAGATTTCGGGAAGTAGAAAACACAATGAAAATGCAGTCGACCCTCCACATTGGAGGGGTTACCGTTTGTAGAATTGATTAACATGGCATCTCTGGGAATCTTTAGGTCTTCCAGTATGACTTTATGGTCAACTTCTGTCGGAGCTTAACCAGAGAAGCACACTGGAGGTTCTAGAGAGGTGATATCTCACTTTAAAAACAAATAAAAAACCCAAAATATTTATATTCATTTTTTCCACTTTCATGTGGGTTCTGCACCACTAACCCTAGTGAATGTGGAGATCTGATTATACAACACAGTATTATTACAATATCTGGGTTGTTGTAGGTTTCCCAGGCTATATGGCCATGTTCTAGAGGCATTTTCTCCTGACGTTTTGTCTGCATCTATGGCAAGCATCCTCAGAGGTAGTGAGGTCTGTTGGAAGTAGGAAAATGGGTTTATATATCTGTGGAATGACCAGGGTGGGACAAAGGACTCTTGTCTGCCGGACCTAGGTGTGAATGTTTCAACTGACCACCTTGATTAGCATTTAATGGCTTGGAAGTGCATAGCAGAGCACCTGATGAACTAACCTGGACACAGCATATTATTTGAGAACACAGAAATGCTGGACCACTCTCACAACCACCATGTCAGACTA